GGGGGGGGAAGAAGAGGAAGAAGAGGAACTATAGAGAGGGGCCCTAAAAGAGAGTGTAGTACATCCAGGCCACATAGACAGCCCAGGAGACAACCAGCCAGTGACAGGAGTAAAGTGGGTTTTTACCGTCAGCGAACTTTCTGGCCACAAACTTGAGAGTCTCGTCCAGTAGAATGACCGGGATGGATATCTTCATCACCGCCACCCATTCCTCAAGGTTCAGAGGGGTGATTTGGAAGATCACCTGTGTAGAACAGGAAAGCTTTGTAAGAGACTCGCATCAACACAATAGATGGGCAAATTAAACCTCACTTAAAAATTTTTTTTGTGTTTTTTTTTTTTAAAGGAAGAGTTTTACATCACTTGCAACATAAACAAGTCATTAAGTACCAAACATTATAGACGACTTTGAGTTTGAGTAAAGAGAAACACATTAACATATTAATGTCACCATACAGTTTGTTTGTTTGTTTTAGTAGAGGTTTTACGGCGCTCGCAACTGCATAAGGTCATATGAGCGCCAGAAGATTAGATGTGTTACAAGAGAGTAACAAACATAAAAAAGAAGAAGGGGGAGATAAGGACGATAGATGTTTCATAGGAAAGAAGGAGCAAACCACACCAGAGCACCCGCCAACCACCCACTGGAGGAGAGATAAGGACCATAGATGTTTGATAGGACAAAAGGAGCAAGCCACACCACAACATCCCCCAACCACCCAGCCCTTGGAAATCTTTGTGAGAGATGCATATTGACACGATAAACCAGCCAGATTTTGGAGGAAATTTCGTTTGAGCTATAGACAAACACAGGACCACAATAACAGGCCACTCGAACGCTGAATGACAGTGAGCATTACTAGCAAAACAGACAGAAACAGCACGGATTTCAAGGAATTTGGACCCTCCATCTTCCCGCATTTTGAGCCAAGACAGCAACTAGACACATCAAGAGCACTTGAAAAAAAGCCTGTTATTAGTCGAAGTTCAAGACTTGCCTATGGACACGACAATGGTCATCTCCTCTTGTGTAAAGGACAAAGAGCAAAGTAAAAAAAAGTACACCAACATGACAGCAGTAACAAAGCCCTACGGAAAAAAAAGGAAGACTGATGGACAAAAATACTAGAGAGAGTACAGGAAGAGGTACTTACTAGTAGCACCCTCCAACCACCCGTCTACAAAGTATAAGAGTGTATTAGTTTAGTTTTAGTAAGAGTTTTACGGCACTCGCAACTGCATAAGGTCATATGAGCACCAGACGATTAGAGGTGTTACAAGAGAGTAACAAACACAAAAAAAGAAGGAGGGGAGATAAGGACGATACATGTTTGATAGTAAAGAAGGAGCACACCACACCAGAGCACCCGCCAACCACCCACTAAGAGTGTATAAAAGAACAAGTCAAGAAGTAATAAGAAAAAAAGCCCAACAGGCATTGATGACAACTTCAAAAGTACACCCACACCCGATATCTAATAATAATAATCCGACTTCAAAATTCACTGCAAACTGTATAATTAATTTGCCAATCACGGCCATAATAGCCACATTTTCCTAGAAACAACATGGGAAATTTCCATAGAAACAATGAAAAATTTCAATCAATAAAGGTGATGAGAAATTTCACGAGAAAAAGTAGAAGGAGCAGACCAGCACAGAGGGGCTTCTGATCACCAGCATGACAAATATATTTTTTAAAAATATGTTAAATAAATAAATAAAATAAATAAATAAATAAATATGAATAATGAATAGTGTTAGTACTCACAGACATGACGTCGACGTAGAGGATAATAAAGTGCAGGAACATAGAAAGACTGATGGCGCCGATCAACCACTTGTTTGTCCATGGGGGCATCACAATCAGGGACTGGTTCTCGCTCAAGCTGCAGACATGGACAAAACATGGTCACATCATGGTCATCGACAAAGCTGGCAGTATACCAGGCAATTTCATCATCACCTCACCATACCATGGTTATCACACTTCATCCGGGTCTCTCATGAAACCTGCCAGATCTTCAAAAATAGAACCCCCCCCCCCCACCTCCTCTTTTAGCGCCACATCATGAAATCTGACACATCTCTAAAAAAATTAGACCCCCCCCCAACCCTTTTTTTGGGTGTTACTTTCGAGATTTGGGCCACAAGACACCTCGTAACCCTAAATGAATGGAAACAATTTTTAGAACCACCTATTACCCACGCAAAAAACAATGAAGGTCCATTTTTTAAAAGTTTTTGGGTTTAAAAAATCTGAGCCATCTCCTATCCAACTGAGCTGTTGGGAGATAGAACTATATACAGGCTGAGAGACATTCCACAGCTATGTGTGGGGCTAGGCACACGCCTGAGAGTGACAAAACTCTACATGAGCAGAGCATAAAACCTTATTGTTAATGGGAAGAAACCAGCCACCGCTGGCAGCGGAAAAACCCCCCCCCAGTTAATTTACGCAAATTCTAGCCCTGGAGAAATGCATCATAAACGACATCAGGCAATGGATGTATGTATGCGCCCACCAGTACAGAGAGGCATTTAGATAGGGTGACCTAATAATCTAGAGCTCTTTTGTACAGACAGGCATTCAGAGAGGGTGAACTAAGCTAGAGCTTTCATTGTGCTGTAAACACGAGGTGCTGTGCTCATACGACAGTCAGAGCTTCATTATCATCAGATTTGCTTGTGCATTCAGCAATACATGACTGTTCAGTAGTGCAACTGTTTTATGCACTTCTCTCAAAACCACTATCATTTCCTCCCAATACCCCTTCCCACTTTTTGACAAATCTCACGAGGGACAATTGCACGCAACCAAAAAGTAGCCAAGAATTCTTTCGACACTAAAGACAGAAAAGAACTAACAAAATTCATGTTAACTCTATTTCTGGCTGAAAAAAGAAATGACTACAAGCAAACAGAAAAACCCCCACAAAAAAACAAGCACAGCTGGTAAAAGTTCCTCCACATTGTAAGCTGACTTCAATGTTTCTCTACAGACTAATTTTTGTCCATCTACAACACATCTATAAGAAAAAGTCTTGAAGACAACACAATAACTGGGAAAGCCATGCTCAGTTTCGCACTGTAAAGATAGTGAAAAAACGCTATAAACAATCCCACTTCTGTTTATAGGGGATGAACTTTCCTGATCAATGAACGTTTTCTTATCATCCTAGTCATTTCATCTAATTTTGACTTCACTTGAGAGCAGAGCAACACCAAGACGACTGCACATGCACTAACCAGAGAACTAAAAGTTTACCAATGAAAATCTCACTTCAGACTAGGGTGTGTACAAAAAAAAAATCTGTGCAACAACATTTAACACTTTGCTGTCACTTGCCGCAATAATGCGACGGTGACAATTAGCAGTTCCAGTCTGTTGCAGTGACTCTCCTGGCTGGGTGACCAGATAGGGTATTTTGTACTGCAAGCTGTGTGACTGCAACGTGTTAATGAACACAGAGGAGCTTGTCAATTAACCTTTTACAAAAATGAACCCTCCTACTACAACCAGACAATTGATACGGATATGGTTATCGATTCCCCCAACAACCAGCCTCTCGCTTCACACCACGTAGTGTAGCAGAATACGAATGTCATTATAATTTACTACCAGCAAAGGGAACCCTGGATATGTAATAAGTCAAACTGGGAGGAAGCAGACGGAAACCCTCAGCATGGGAACACTTGCGCACCCCCCCCCCAAAAAAAAAAAGAAACAACTCACTTTTCAACTTGTCCTGAGCTCACATAGAAATAAATACGCATAATAACATCCTACCACAGATGTCCCAAAGAAGGCTAGGCAGTTAGTGTATGTTACAAGTGCTACAGGAGTGGAGTACTGTTACCATGAAACAGCCTTTCTTCAGCCATGATGAATTAATCATACAAGAGCAGCCAGCTAAATACTCAAGCGTTTACAAAGCGCAAACCGTATATCAAAAAAAAAAAAAAGAAAAAAAAAGAAAGGAAAAAAAAAAGAAGAATGAAACAACATTAATGGTAATGCATTAAAAACTATTTCACACAACAAACGATTTTTAAATATGGCTTCCAAAAGACACACACGAGAAGAAGAAGAAAACAAACAGTCTATACTAAGGAAAAACTAACAAAACAAACAAACCACATAGCAACTACTTGTCTGGCTACAAAAGTCTGGCATTCAGCATTGAGCACAGGCAGCTACGCAGGCGAGGGAGCAAAGTGACCACACAGGCAGCCCACGCAGGAGAGATCTGTGGAAGCTGTGGTGCAGGCACAGAGAACCGCCACGCAGGTACAGAGAACCGCCACACAGGTACAGAGGACCGCCACGCAGGTCAGCTGCCATCAGGCGCGTTCAGAGACCGAGGGGAGACCCATCTGGCAATAGAGAGCCTTCCCTGAGAGTATCAAAAGCGCCCACGCGGGTGGAAACGATGTGTCGGGGAGTGGGGAGGGAAAGCTCCTCCTCCTCCCGCCCTCCCCTCACCATTGGACCACTCCAATGAGAACAAAGTCATCTTGGGCGCTTCACTCTGCACAACCAAAGACCCAGAATTTGAACTGCCGGCTGAAAGAGTCAGTTCTGTTATCATCAGATGCATTTTAAATATTCTGCGGAGGTGACAGATTCAAAGGAAAGAAAAAGGGGGAAAAAATCCAAATAAAAAAATACATAAATAAATAGATAAATCGATCAATAAAATTGTACACTTCCAGAGTGTATTTCAATTAGATTTTTAAAATGTACTTTATTCTTTCAGACTAAAAGAGATAAAATTTAAGAGCAAAAAAAAATAAAGAATGGGTAGGGGAGCGACCAAAATAAAAAGAAATTAAAAGGCAAAAGACAAATTAATAAACAGATATATCTATGAGAAATGAAACTGAAAATTTTAAAAATAAATGAATAAATTTAAAAAAACCCCATATATATAAGTATATATATATAGAAAGAAATCCACTTTAAGATAACTATGTGAATCTGTCACCACACAGGTATGAAAAAAAGAGCAGTGAAAAGGGAGAGGGGGGGGCTGGCAGTTAGTGTCTCACACACAAACACACAAATGTGTACGCACACGAGAGTGCGCCCACAGGTGCGTGAGGTGTCCTCCTCCCCGCCGAGCGAGTGAGCGAGCGAGCAAGGGAGGAGGCGTTGAGAGCGAGGCAAGACAAAGAGCAGGCGTCGTGTGACTCCAGGCAATAAATAACAACATCACACCATGCAGGAAGACGCGGAAGGAAGGAGAGCAGCAACACATCTCATCACAACCTTGTCACAAGGCAACTTTAACTGGGTGGGGGGGTGGGTGGTTTTCTTTCTTTTTTTTTTTTTTTTTTTTTTTGGTCTCTTCTGTCATTCCATTTTTTTTTTGTTACCAACACAGGGGGAGCTGGATGGACGTTTCCATTGTCGATTATTACATTCTTTGTTGGGTATTTTTTTTTGTTGTGCCTATTTCAAAAGACTCTTTATCTTTCAACTGAACTTTTCTACACAAATAATCTCTTTCCCTTCTCCGAGGCCTTCGTAATAAAGAAGAATCAAACAAGATATCCTCTCGAATTAAAAGTGGGGACAAAAAAAAGGAAAAATAATCTGTAATACTTTCCTCTTTTTGTCTGTCCCTCAGAAAAAAGGAAACAATTATTACAGAGAAAAAAACTTGCCATGACCATACAAGAGCCTTTGCCAAATTACTTCAGCCGCAATCAGGGTACCTCTTTATGCTTCTCAAGAGACTTCTTTGAATATTTTTTAAAAAGATTTTGTCCCTCGTGTATCTTTATTTCACTTCAGCCTTGGGATGGAGAAGAAAAAAAATATACTCGATACAACTGTCCTACTCCGAAACTTGTAGAACGTCTTCAAGTGTTCAAAGCTCTTTTGACAAGAGTTGCCCTTGTAAGCCATGTACTTTCAATTTCAGACATTGGAGTTGAGAAAGAAAAGGCCAGAGGATTTTTAGTCCAGTGGCATCAGTTGAGACACGTTTGTTTTTCTTCTTTTTTTTTTTCCTTTCTTATTTTTTTTTTCTCCCAAAAGCCCCTGCTCTTTGGAAGATATGCATCGCTGCTCGACTACTAAACGTCCATATAGAAGCTCCCCCTGTGCGGTAAAGTAACAGTACGCAAACACTATGGATGGTCATGTCATTCCGAAAAAAACCAGAGCTTTAATTTGTTTAAAAACAGTGGAATAAGGCCTGCATGCAGATTATATCACTAGTCTATATGGAAGGGGTTTCGACAATCGTGAGCACAAGAATCATGGCGCACTGGTCCGTTACGTTAATCTCTACCACAATCGACCGGACGACTCCTAACAGGATTATTTACAATACACCACTCACTGAGAAGTACAAATTCAGACTCTCTTATCTTTATTACAGGTTCCTTGGGAAGGGACAGTACGAACTGTTATATATGAAAATGTGGTAACGTGGTGATTTATGGGAGGAAAAAAATAATTAATGATGTTTATGGTTTCCATTCTTCCAACTTATCATCACATTTTCGAATTTCACCTTACTATGTATTCTATCTCACTCTACCGCAGCAGGGGTTGTTAGAAACAAAATATATAAAAATATTAAATGTTCGTAATTGGTACACACATAAAAGGGGGGAAGACATTAACATAGAAGATTCTTATCCATTTTTTAAAATGTCTTTCAATCAAAAAAACCAGCTCCCCTTAAATGTGTTGATAAAAAAAAACCTCAAAAAGACAGACAGAGAGATAAGAGGAGAAGACAAAGGTTGTAAGTACATGTTGCAAATCACATCCCTGGAACAGCTCACCGGTACATGTTATGTGACCAGTTTTTATCACATTCTTTATCTTTTGTTTTCAATGATGGATTTTACTTCCCAACACAATCAAATGTCTTTAAAAAAGAAAAAAAAAAGAAAGAAAAAACAGTCGTCCTGAAAGTGAATCTGATGGCTTAACTTTTCTACTCTGACATAAGGACTGAGATAATTACTGAAATAAAACATTTTTGTTTTTAAAAAAATTTCGACATTTCCATTAAGGAAAACAAAAGGACCCCAGATTAGATGCAAAAACACAGGAATTATGCTTTACATGTATTAGAAATTACTGGGAAGCTTACCCCCCCCCCCCCCCCCCCCTCGGCTACCCAAAATTCAGAACCTTTTAAACATTTTGAACCAAGATTTTAACCTCCTTTCCTATCCCTACGGTGACTCAAACTGCTATGTCTTCCAGATTTCTTTTTTCTTCAAACAAGAACTGTTTCAGGGATGTGACCTCGACGGTACTTCCAGGTCACAAGCTGAGAAGCCCCTCAGACACTTGGACACAGGAAGCACCATCGTCTTCCTGCTGGTATGAGTCATCTATAGTTTGGCACTGCCAGTGCTCTTCCCCTTGTCTCGTGTATGTGTGTATGTCTGTGTGTGTGTGTGTGTGTGTGTGTGTGTGTGTGTGTGTGTGTGTGTGTGTGTGTGTGTGTGTGTGTGTGTGCGAGTGTGTGTGTGTGTGCGAGTGTGTGCATTTTTAGGCGAATTTTTTTCTTCTTTTGCATATATGTGTGTGTGTGCGCGAGTGTAAGTGCGCACGCTAGTGTAAGTGCAAGTGATGTGTGTGCTCATTGACGGCGGGTGTAGTCGTGTTAATGGAGCGTCCTACTGAAGACGTCCGTTGAAACAATAGGCGCACTAGTATGGAAATGTGTGTACATTAATCTAACAGGACAACTTGGTGGTGCCAAAAACTTTTTGCTTTGGCCTCAAAAACAAGTCGTAATTTAAGCAAAGAATGTTCTGTCCGCAAATTGTAATAACATTTATTTATGAAAGAAAGTAAGAAAAAAAAAAAAAGCAGATAAAAGCTACGCACTAATTCACCTCTACAATGAAATTCGGAGAAATATATTTTTTAAAGCACTCTTTTCTATAAAAGGCAACTAGATATGTGAAATAAATTACTTATGGATAAATAAGAAGCATAACAAATCTGAGCATTGCCAGTGTATTTTTTGCTTGTCTCGAAAAAGCCAGTGACTCTACAAATTCCGGAAAGAATAGCACTCAGAAATGTCGCAGTTTTTGTCTGTTGAGCTCAAATCTTTACTTGGCATATCTGACAACACTTTCCTTTTTTTCTATACAAAAACCCCCAGAGAAAACAGCATAAAGGTATGTTCAAGAAGTATGTAATTCTTTTGACAAGTCCCTACACAAATCAAACCGAGACTTTTGTTTCCAAGATCCAATTCTTTCTTTCTCCTCCATCTTTTTTAAAATCTTAAAGACGGTTCTGGATTCCTATACCTCAAAATAGTACTTTGGTAGAGGTAAGAACAAAAGGAGTAGTATGAGTAGTGATGTCAAAAGACCCAATTTACTTTTTCCAACACCCAGAGTCATTAAATAGAGCTCACACCCAGTAACCTAGACACAAGACATACTACGTTCTTACTGCACTGGTGTGAATAATTGTACGACTCTCACTAATCTGACACCCAAAGGCGGAAGGAATGACTCAATAATGTGCAACATATAGGCATGTTATTTTTATGCAAATGTGTGAGAGAAATATTTCATTTGATAAAAGTGTGCATCTCTTTTAAGCATCATGAGTCTACATGCGCGCGTGTGTAGAGCTTTATGCGAGATATACTGTTTGGAACAAGTCGGCGTGAAGAAGGTGTAGATCAGAGAATAATGCGTGTAAATGAACTTGTACATACGTGTACACATCACCGACTCTTTAATAGTGTATGTGCGCGTGTGAAATAATCTTGTTAAATGAACGATTTTCATTTGAATGTGTTACGTGTGAGGGTATGTTTTGTCTATGCGTGTGTTTGTCTGTGTGTGTGAGAGTGCATGTGTGTGCGTGTTTATGTCTAGTATTTGCGTGTGTGTGTGTGTGTGCGCGTGTGTGTGTGTATATGTGTGTGTGTGTGCTGAGAATTGTGACCAGCCCCCCTCACCTGTTCAAGGCATTAAGCATCTCGATAACGACCAGAACCGACAGGGCCATGGTCATGGGCTTCGGGTGGGAGAACACTCCGCAGTCGATGCCGGCAAACATTTCATCCTGAGCCAAGCACTGGGCCTGGTGGGTCTGCAAAAGGGAAGGGTCACGTGAGTGAAAAGATACAATGAACAAGCACCACACCACGTCCATCACGGTGGAAAAACACCAAGAGGAAGTCCGACTCGGCCCAACCCCGGCCCCAGCCAGCTAGCTCCTCGTCTGCGTGGTGACCTGAACGTCCAAACCGTTTGGGTTACGCTCCGAAGGATGGAACAATGGTCCTGAGTATTGGTCCACAGTTTCACCAGTGCATGAGGACAGGACAGGGCAGTGATCGAAACTTCACAGATATGACGAGGGAAAGTTTTCAGAAGGATCCAAACTTCACAATTGACAAACGTACCTGAGCCACGGACAAAGACAAAGCCAAATTCCTCACACTGACAAAGAAACGACAAAGACTTCTCATATGAAAAGCTTCAGGAAGGCCAACAGCAGAAGCGATGTCATCTCTAAAAAGAAAGCAGTCTGCTACATACTTTATCACAAGACCACAAACGTTTACACTCAAGAGCTTAGAAACATCCAGACAAAACAAAATGAGAAAGATTTATTACAATGTGTTTTACTTCAGATCAGCACAACATCAGTGACATCACCATCCACAGGAGACAGAGAAGTCACTTCAAGAAGAAACACAAGTGCCCCAACAACAACACCATTGTCACACTGGCAATAATACAATTTGTAAAGCCACTGGGGTGGCTATCTTCAAACATCATTACCCATAGGAAAACTTTATAGAAGGAAAAACAGACAGAGATAACTTGGGCACTCGACAACTGTTCTTGAAAAGAGGAGCAATTCGCAGGAAGAGGAGAAAGACAAAAGCAGTCCAACAGACATAGTGAAAAAGACACACTTTTCACTTTCACTCGCGACTTGTTAAAAGACAAACGAGGGACTGTGAAACAGCAACAGCTGATCTAAAATAGACGGAAAGTGTAGCATTACAGATTAGAGAAGATCAATGAGAAGTTTCTCTCCTTGCGTGGCTGCCTGCGTCCAAAATCCAGCCAACAGAACAATAAAAAAATCAGAAGAAAAAATTCAGAACTGGCAATACAGCCACCTTGCTCCAACAAAAATTCAAAAAAGGTGCTAGATTCTATCCAGACTGTTCTCACATTACATCTACAAAGCAGGACAAAAACTTATACAAGACATGAAAAAACAGGAAACTTTTGGGGCCAAATTCATGAAATTTCCAGAAAGGCTTCCTTGCCCCATTGCGCCCTGACGGGCACGGGGGAAGAGTGTAAGGGTTACCTGTTGAGAGCATTGAGCATCTCAATGGTGACCAGGACAGACAGAGCCATGGTCATAGGCTCGGGAGCCTGGAACACGTTGCAGTCCACTCCCTTGAACATCCTCGGCTCGGCCGGGCACTGCATGTGATGGGTCTGAGGAAGCACACCACTCACCCGGTCAGACACTTCTCCCTCCCATTATTTATACATTCATATATCATGGCAAGTATTAAACACTTATCTTGTGTCCTATACACCCATACTAACTGGGCACATTAGATTAAGTCCTTCTTTTCCTTTTCTAAAGTTACACTCAGCCCTTATCTGATGTCAACTTATTTTACTAAATTCAAAGACAAATCAAATTCCTTTCACTATCAGTACTGAAAGGGCTTATAGGTTGGACTTACAAGATACATCTAAATGTTAATGACAAAACAGAGAAAAGTATAATACAGTTTTGACATTTAATACCACTTCTCAATCTCTCTATCATCCCCATTTTACCTCCCCCCAACCAGCTCAGGTTTTTTTCTACAAATAGTTTCCTTGTTTCCATAGGTTCAACCAGGACAAGACCAGTGTCTGCATGTGTACATGTGTGTGTATGTAAGAGAATGAGAGAGCAAATGAATGTGCGTGAGTGTGTATGTGTATGAGTGTGTGTATGTACGTGTGAGCAAGTGAGTGTTTGCATAAAAAAGAGAGAAAGAATGTATATGTATGTCCATATCTGCGCAAGAAAGAGTACTCCTGCATGTACATTCATGTTGTGGCGCGTACGCCTGTTTGCTGTGTGCGTGTATGTGTGGGCACGCACGAGTGTGCGAGTGTATGTGCATTACCAGCTGGTAGTAGTTGAGCCTGGGTCCCTTGTCGTAGAGCATGAACCACCAGGCAGCGGCTCCCACAGTGGCGCAGCCCACGTACACTGAGGACAAACAGATGGTTTAGTTACTTTAGTTTTAGTAAGGTTTTAGGGTGCTCGCAACTGCATAAGGTCTTATGAGCGCCAAGGGGTGGATGTCAAAAGAAAAGTACAAACGGAGAATCAAGCTTACTCTGCTTCGACTATTAAGGCACCCCGGAAATAGTAAATAGCAGTTCACAAGAGAGTGACAAACATACAAAAGAAGTAGAGGAAAAACGACAATAGCAAGGATGAGGAAAGAAAAAGCAGCAGTTTAGTGAGTTTTACAGCAATTGCAATACAAATAGGCTGTAGTATAAAGGTAGAATATTAGAGGTATTACAATAACAAAAGAATAACAAACACATACCAAAAAAAAGGAAGGTTATCTTACTAATAGTTATACAGCACTGGCAAAAAATTAGGTCATATAAGTGCTAAAGATTTGAGGTGTGACAAGAGAGTAACAAGCAAAAAATGGAGGAGAGATAACGACGACATATATTTCTAAGAAAGAAGGCAGCAAACCAGACCAGAGCACCCGACAACCACCCACAGCAACAGCGTGGTCAAGAACCTCTCACCTCCAATGGCCATGTATCTGAAGAAGAGCCATCCAGTGATGAGGCCCTCTTTGGGAGATCGGGGTGGCTTCTTCATGATGTCCAGATCGGGAGGGTTGAAGCCGAGAGCGGTGGCGGGCATACCGTCAGTGACCAGGTTCACCCACAGCAGCTGGACGGGGATCAGAGCCTCGGGGATGCCCAGGGCAGCCGTCAGGAAAATACTGCACGGGAGATGGATGGATGGGAGGGGTGTTGTAGGTTACACAGTGATCATAATTTCATTTTCAAATTTTTAAAGGGAGTTGTAGTTTATGTTCGTTTGTTTTAGTAAGGTTTTACAGCGCTCGCAACTGCATACGTACATATGAGCACCAAGGGGTGGATGTCATCAGAAAAGTCGAAACGGGGAATCAGGCTTGCTCTTCTCACCTCTCTTGCCTCAACAGCACAAAGTCTCCTTCAACTATCAAGGCACCCCGGAAATAGCAGTTCACAAGGGAGTGATAAACATACAAAAGAAGTAGAGAAAAATGACGACAGTAAGGATGAGGAAGTACTTTAGTTCCGTAAGAGTTTTACAGCACTTGCAGTACAATTACATTATACAAGTGCTGAAGATTAAAGGTGATACTGGATTGTAGCATACAAATAAAGAAATAAGGGCGATAGATGTTCGACAGGAAAAAAGGACAAAATCAAACCAGAGCACCCCGCTAACCACCCACAGAGCAGTAGTTTACAGAGGGAATGAGAACTGTCATATTTTGCCAGGAACATAAAATACGACAAAACCAAAACTAAAGGGAAGAAAGAGCAGACCACATCACTGACCCCTTGCCTTCTCAGGAAGAAACACTTTAAAATAACACAAGTCAGCGATTTCAAAAAGAGTCGATGATATTGCAATGGGGATAAACTATAAATATAAATCTTAGATAAATAAATCACCCCCCCTAAAAAAAAGGGTTTTTTTTATCTTAAACGTCTTCCCACTGGAACAAAGAAAGTCTTATCATCTTACCCTATCTATCTTATTCTGCAACGACAGCCATTTCTTTCCACAACAATTATACCAATATCACACCGCAAGGTGAAAATGCATAACAGTATGGATCAAACAGAAGCCTGTGATCAAGTGACGAAGAAAGCCCCAACTCACCACACGACTTCACCAATGTTGGAGGAGATGAGGTAACGGATGAACTGCTTCATGTTGTTGTAGATGGCACGGCCTTCCTCCACAGCCGAAACGATGGTGGAGAAGTTGTCGTCAGCCAACACCATCTGTGCACTGGGGTCAAGGCCTTTAACACATTCATAGACGCAATGATGCAAGCACAGCTGGACTCCTAATTTACAACTAACAGCTGGACTCCCCATTATAGGCACAGCCAGCCTTCCAATTATTTGCAACTAGCAGAGTCTTGTCAATAGCTACCCGGCCCTCGATATGCCACAACCATTTGACCACAAAAATCTGGCCTCCCATTTTCAGAACAGCTAATTTGTACCGGAGTTTACTGATCTCATTATGATACAAGTGAAAGATAAGAAAACATTGATACCCCACACATAATGGGTACGTAAACTCATTTGTATCCCGAAAGGAAAAGTCAGGAATGTGTTCCTCAAATTCTGGAAATTTTCATAAATGCGGCACAGGCAGATTACCCCAAAAGTTATTCACATTTCCCCCAACAGTAATCAAAATCTCCTCTTTACCAACTGCACTTATCAAACAAAGTGTATATTTTCCTCCTGATCTGCCTTGGCCAGTTGAAGTTAAAGGGGCAGCAGTTTGGCAACCAAAAACGCATGATACTTTTTGTACCTATCTTCCTTCTTATCCTTACCTTGTAAGCCGTTGTTCTCAAGTAATTAGTCATATAAGTAGAATAAAAATGTCTCTAAGGGGTCAATAAAGGTGTATCTGTAATATCATATTAAATATCCCAATTGAAAGAGCTGCAGAGCTGGCCTACCATAGAAAACTGCATCTCCTATCAATGCTTGACAGCAACAGAGGATGAAAAAGTAAAAGTAAAGTAAAGTACGTATAATCAGCAACCATCAAGCTGCTGGTAAACACTGCAGTGCTCCCATGGAGAATCGAAACAACATTTACAATCTTTCTTCAAAAGGATATCGGAGGCACTCTTGGCGACAGCAGTTCCAGATCCCATGGCAATACCGATCTCAGCCTTCTTCAGGGCGGGGGCGTCGTTCACACCGTCACCAGTCTGGGAAACACACAGACACACACATCAAGCATTAGCTATGGCAGGAAAAACATTCAGTGACATAGAATTCACTAAAAACACCCCACTGACAGCAGAGTAGGAAAGATTCAGGGACATCTCATACATATTGGCCTCTATTTTTCAAGTTCAGGTGGAGCACATCCTGAAACATTGCCACAGTAAGCTGTATTCAAAAAGTCTTATTAATCACTTTTCGATATAGAAATGAATCTAAGGAGACAGACAAAAAATGATCCACTGCCAAAGACTAGCAACACTCAGTCCATAAAATAGAGCATATAAGGTTCAGTCTTCCATCTCATTTCTATTAAAAGAGCAACAACAAAGTGTTGCTTGGAAAGAGATACAGTAATTGTCACAAGTAAGTGAGGAAAAATATTTGATTTTATGCAAATCGAATCCAAGTCCTTCAATACACAAAATAAGATCAAAGAGCTCTGATTTTATTGAAGTACTAGGCAGGTCTGTAAATACAGCATTTTGGTGGTGGCAAAGAAATGTGTCATGACACGATAGAAGCAGGCACTCTTCAAGTTTTGGGCACACAGAATTATTGGTATCTTCTTAAATCTTGATAATTGTCCTTGCTTTTGCCTAAATATTTACTCATCTACCTAGAAAAGAAGTCAAGATTACCGATTGAAGAAGGTAGGAATCGTGTGGTGTCAGGGTTAAAATTATTGAGAATACGGCCACCAAAATATGGAGTCTTCCAAAGGTGTAGTAGTATCTATGGAAACTGAAAATTCGCATTTTTTGTGTGTTTTTGATCATTGTTTTTCATTGAGATCTACACAGGAATGTGTTTTTAAATCAACATACAAGATGCTGAGCCAAAAAAAGAAAATTTGAAAAATATTGCCCAGCAGCCAGAAAAACACCGGTTTATTTGATTTCATTATTTGACAGGGGCCGCCGATATCACCATGATGGCTCACAAATGTGTTGTTGGTCCCTGGACACAGGACTCACCATAGCAGAGATCTCTCCCTCAGCCTGCAGGTACTCCACGATCTTACTCTTGTGAGCGGGCTCCACACGGGCGAACAGGCGAGCGCGCATAACGGCGGCCCTCTGGTCCTCAGCGCTCAGTTCATCAAACTCTCGGCCAGTGAAGGAAATTCCCTCAGTGACTTCGTTCTCTCCGAAAACTCCGATTCTGCGGCAGATGGCTTCGGCGGTGGCCTGAGGAGGGTGGGAAGAGAATGGATGAAAACAACGTCAAGAGAACGGATGAAAAACGATTAAGAAAAAGAGAAAGGATCAGAAAAAAAGATGGGAAGAAATAAAATTGAAAACAGATGTTTTAGTTTAGTTTTAGTAGAGGTTTTTACGGCGCTCGCAACTGCATAAGGTCATAAGAGCGCCAGAAGATTAGAGGTGTTACAAGAGAGTAACAAACATAAAAAAGAAGAAGGGGACATAAGGATGATAGATGTTTCATAGGAAAGAAGAAGCAAACCTACCAGAGCACCCGCAAACCACCTATGAAAACAGACGAGAAGATGTGACATCATACATGCTAGAAAAAGTTTCCTCATTTGTCCTTAACCAAAAACGTTAATGTCTATTTTGTTGGAGTAAAGAGAAGTACATCCCCACAATAATGACCATTTAGTGCTGGGAAAAAGTAAGACAGACGCAGAGACATAAACAACTGAGGGAAAGTAAAGAAATAGGATCTACCAGTGGAGCCCTCCAACCACCCGTGAGTGAGAGGAGGAGGTCTGGAGGAAACAACGAGCAGAGAAGGGATAAAAGATGAAAAGAAAATGGATAAACACAGTGGGTTACCTACCTTGTTGTCTCCAGTGATGACGATGACCCTGATGCCAGCATCACGGCACTCCTTGATGGAAGTCTTCACCTCCTCACGAGGGGGGTCCAACATACCCACAACACCGACAAATGTCATGTTGGTCTGAGGAGAGTGGGGGGGGAAAACACACATAACACAGTTGTCTTTTAGTTATAGTAGCAGTTTTACAGCATTTCAAACACAATAAATAAGTCATACAAATGCCAAAGATTGGAAGTGTTACTAACTAGAGAGTATCATACAAAGAGAAGGAGAGATAAGAATGATAGAAGTTTGGTAGGAAATAAGGAGCAAGCCGCATCAGAGCATCTGCCAACCACCATGTACACTTAAAATCATCTTGCTGAATAATAATGATAAATTAATTCCCTTATATTTATAACTTTTATCCCATACAAATATTAACTCTCAGAGCTTTACATCTATGACAAGATTCCTGAAAATAACCTCACACGCACAGGAAAATAATTTCAACAGCATAAAGAGCTTTCTCAACTACACATCGATAACAAAGACACATCAGAACACGTTCACACACCTCAACTGACATTTAAAGAAATGAAACTTGAGCAATCTTTTAAAAGTATTCACATTTTCTTTGATCGAGGTCCTAGAGCAATTTTAAGACCCCAAAAAAAGATAGTATTGGCATATTTGCTATTACTACCAAATTAACGAGAAAAGCTTTTGCTGTTAAACTACCTAATCCAATTTCAATTTCTATTTTCAGAATTTAACCAAAACAATCTTTGCAATGATAAAACTAAAGAAGCCTCAACGAAAATCCTATCACAACACATATAGGTTCAATCTACCACTAGCAAGTAGTTCTCTAGCTCAAGTAATTCCCAGCAGGTTCCTTACCTCATACTGAATGAACTTTCTGGAATCTTCCAGATCCATTTCCTCACGGCGGGGTGGGTTGTCGATGGTAGCCAAGGCCAAGCAACGCAGGGTGTCACGTCCTGAGGTGCCAATGAGGTATTGTTTTAGTTTTGTTTTAGTAAGTGTTTCACGGCACTTGCAACACAAATAGGTTATATATGTGCCAAAGATTAGAGATGTTACAAGAGAGTAACAAACACAAAAAAGAAGGAGGAGAGATAAAGACGATGGAGGTTTGAAAGGAAAGAAGGAACATAATACACCAAAGCACCCACAAACCACCCACTAAAGAGGAACTGAAAAAATATTGTGTTGATAAATTGGAGGCAACAATGGTTCCAGGCACAAAACTGACTTGATAGCACCACCAACAGATTAGGGACTCGCTGAGATAAGGAACGGAAGAAAAAGACCACACTAGACTGGAGAGTAAAATACGAAAAAAATAAATAAATAAACAGGAAGAAAATTAAGTGTGTGTAGCTGAGTATCTACTTGGCAATAATAAGAATAAAGAATAACAATAACAATAAAAATAATAATGACAACCAAAAAGCCTGCAAGTCCCCCCGTTATAAAATGTTCTAACGTCAACTGGAACGTATCTCCGTACCAGTTCCATAGCTCTTGGTGTGCTTGATGATCTCGTTCTTGATGGCGGGTGACATGGGCACCTTGTTCTGGCCCACACGCACGTGGGTGCAACGATCCAGCAGTCCTTCAGGCGCACCCTGAGAAGGGGGGAAAAAAACAAGAATAAATATAAGTGTATAGCTAGAATAGAGCAAAAGTTCATTTATTGTATTAAATAATAGCAAGTCTCAAAGCAACTCTCGATGAACCCGACATTTGTTATTATAATTAAAACCACACTATATCTAACAACATTATAATGTAACTCGATGAGCCTGACTTCTGTTACAACCGAAACTAAATATATTCAACAAAATTTCTATGTAACTCTATGATCCTGACTTTTCTAACAATGAAAACCGAAGTGTATTCAACTTTATCATGTAACTCTAAGGGCCTGGCATCTGTTACAATAAAAACTCAAGTGTACTCAACAATATCATTATGTAACAAAAACCCAAGTGTACTCAACAATATCATTATGTAACATTTGTTACAATAAAACCCCAAGTGTACTCAACAATATCAATAGGTAACTCTATGAACCTGCCATTTATTCCAAGCAAAACTAAAGAAAACACTCAGTATTGATATTAATAATTAACCCTATAACCCTGACATTTACTGTAATCTGTCTAAGACATCAACTTTTCCTCTTGAAAACAGATGGCTGTCAGGTACAATTCCATCAGCATTATTCATGTATTTAAATAAGACTGAACACAGAGAAACTAAAGACTCAACACACGTCAAATTGTATTTATTAACTGACAAATGTCACAAGACATATGTGTATTAAAAGAAAGAAGAAAAAACATTAACAAGTTCAACATGACCAAAACAAATTATGTCGCTCGAGGTCTTTCTTTTTTCATCTTTCTCACCTTGGCAAACATGCGAGCGGTGCCGGGAGCCCTTGTGGGCTTGTTGGGGACGCAGTAGACGGACATGGACTTGCGGTCACGGGAGAACTCGAGGGTGAACTCCTTGCGCCACATGTCCTGGATGACGTGGTTGCACACGGTGCCCTTCTCGCGCTTGTTCAGGATGGACTTGTCTGTGTTGTAGAAGTTGAGCTTCTCCACCAGGACGGTGAGGGCCGTCTCTGTGGCCTCTCCGACCTTCTCGTACATGTCCTTGGCCTGGAAACCAAAAATAAACAACGACACAGCGGTTATTTTCAGATTATTTTCTTCTCCTTCTTCTTCCTTTTCTTCTTGTTTTTCACTTATTAGTCTACTAATACACAGGGTGAGATTTTAAAGTTACTTTCTAGATATCCTTATCGTGCTTTACAGGTCAGATGTATGCAAGTATGTTAAGGGGGGGGCTCCACAACTATTTCATGGCATAAGAACCCCCAAAAACCGTATTTTTTTCCCATACCGGGCATGTTTGTAACCGTCATTTCCTCATAAAGTCAGTATTTTATTTTTCTGTATCGGCCGTTTCCTCAAAATGCGACTTTTCTCTATACTTTTTTGAATAACTCCACCATTTTTCATCCAATCTTCATGAAATTTTCACAGAATGAAGAGGAGAGGTAATACTAAATATTTGACTGTTGAATTTTTGATATATGGAATAGATTTTTGTTGGTGGTGTCTGGAGTGTGGATTTTCAAGGATTTTTCGCAAACTTGAATGCTACCTCAGGAAAAAATTCATTAAAAATTTTCTAATTCGATTAGGAAAAAAACAACAGACAAATGTTTAGATCTGATGTTCGTGAACACCCATGCAAAAAAACAATCAATTTTCATGAGCGATAAGTGCGGTATTCATTACGTAAGACATGTCAATAAAATCCACTATGGCGGCGTATCCATGGAAACGAAACTTTTTTCTCAAATTTGATTGCGGATTTTAAGACTCCTTACTATGCTTGTTATATGTGTGAAATTTTGTAAAATTCGGTCCAGTAATAAGCGAGATAGCCTCCAGGTGTAGCCGCCGCCCCCCTAAAGTGATATAGCACAATGTCAAACTACTTGACCACACCAGGAAAAAATCCGTCTTGGTTGTATGCAACTGCAGTCAATATTGTGTACATACTATCACTCCCCACCCCCACCTCACTCTCTCAAAGCAATCACACTCTATCACATGCGATATCAAGCAGCCATTGGATCAAAAACGACAACAACAGGGAAAATTTGGAAAGTCATTATTGCGATGCGTCGGACATATTTGTCAATTCCCGGCGAGCATTAGTTCTCCGTGTCCGACTGTAAAAGCTAAGGACCATCAATGATTTATTTATAGAGGCACCAGCCATCCATGGCCAGGTGCTGTTTTAGCCAAAAGCTAAGGACAAGACACAAAAAGATGCTCACGTCATTGTAGTCAACGCTGGAGTCGTTGCACATGGCACAGATGGTGTTCAGTTCCTCCAGGCCAGGATAGTCGCCGGACTTGACCACTTTGTTGTTGATCAACCTGAAGGTAATAAAACATAAAACATTATTCTATTCTACTTCTTGTCTGAGCCAGTGAAAGGAAGGTCGTTTAGTTTTAGTATGTTTTACGGCACTTGCAACTCAATAAGTTCATTTAAGTGTCGAAGATCGGAGGTGCTACAAGAGAGTAACAAACATAAAAAAGGAAGAAAAGATAAGAACGATAGATGTTTGATAGGAAAGAAGGACAAAACCACACCAGAGCACCCCCCCCCCCCCCCCAACCACCCACAAGGAAGATTCATGAAGATGGATTTGAAAAAAGTCTTAGAAAAATTAAAAAGAAAAAAAAGTTAAACATGTTAATGTCAAATAAAAGGAGGTGGGGGGGGGGGGGGGAGAGTAAGAGGGAATGTAACCAGGTGCAGAAAACAAGTGTATGTTGATACTTTTACATTGCTGGGTAAGAGCTATGAGTGACTGCCCAATTTCCTTGTTTAAAGAAAAACCGACTTTCATGCCAAGGCGAGCTTGCACCACAAATATGGATGTAGTGAATTGAAAACTAAAGTGACTGAGACTACGAGATATGATATTTTTTTAAAATCTGATAATAACAAACAGAGCATGAATATGTGACTACATTTAGTTTTAGTAAGAGTTTTACGGCACTTGCAACACAATAAGGTTATATAAGTGCCGAAGAATAGATTACGTGCTACAAGAGAGTAACATACACAAAAAAGGAGGGGAGAGAAGGACGACAGATGTTTGACAGGAAAGAAGGAGCAAACCACACAAGAGCACCCGCCAACCACCCACTGAGACTACATTAATACAACTAGAGGTAGTTATATCTGATAAAAACCCAGCCATTTCAGAATACACAACAAAGTATCTTTGTATCTGTATCTTTCAATACAGAAAAGAAAAGAAAAAGAAAAGTCGGGCAAAAAACTATGACTCCTATTTTGGATGTTTCGCTGCTGGCATCTGCCGTGACATTTAGAGACAGCACAGAGAATAGAATGACTGACAACCTCAGGGCCAACCAGGGCTGTGAGGGGAGGCAACAAACAAACGAGATCAGCGACCATAACAAGGACAACGTGACCTCTTGCCACAAGCCTTAGGCAAAGGCTTTGCTCGAAAACTATCTCCCCCACATGCAGCTCAAATCATAAGAAGGACATTTAAAAAAGCTCAAGGGTCAGCCAATACTAGAAATCCTTCTAAGACCTAATGATCAACGTGTGGGGATACCTTCATATACAAACAGACACAACAGAAGGAAAGAAAAGAAGAAGGCGCCCTCCACCCACTCGTACAAAATACTACAATTGCCGGTATTAAAAGGCAATAGATAAATAAATCCCCAAGGTAGATTTTGAGCGCTGTTAGGGTCCTTACAGTTCTCCCTCGGGGGCGTAGGTGGAGCCGGTGATGTCAAACTGCTGGGTCTTGATGGTGTTAGCCTCAACTTGGTTGAAGATGAACATCTGAGGAGAACAGAGAAATTTTTTCCCCAGATGTTACACACAGAGGTAAACAGAGACCATGGGGAGGCTGTCTGAGTTTTGACTGTAAAGCAGACCTGCATTTTCATTCATATCGACAAAACACATACACACTGTCTCTGTTGCTAGAAAACATGAGTGACCGAAAAACAAAATTGTGAGGCAGGGTGGTGGAATCAGGCTCTCGATTCCACCACGCTGCCTCACATTTAATAAATTTTATTTAATAAAACTCTGACTCACCCTGAAAACCAAGGTCAGAGAGAATAATTCAATATGATACAGTTCATTCAATCCACAAGTGGAGCCTCCTATGGGCGACTTGTATTAAATTATTACTGGACAAGATGACAGCATGGTTGGGAGCAGCAAGAACAACAGACACCATTGCTGCAGCCCAGGACAGGGTGAAGTGGAGGTCCATGATCGCCCACGCCAGTCGGCAAGGCACCGGATGATGATGATGATTATTCAAACAGTCCACTTATGTTCTACACTTAGCATTTCAATCACACGAATCTCTACCAAAAACCCAGGTGTGTCAGTGGACTGCCTGCTCACCCTAAAAAGAGGCTATGCATGTTGAGGAATGGAATCTTTATTCTTGTACGAGCCCACTTCTCTTCCACACTTAGCATTTCAATCAAACGAAACAAAATCTTTGAAGATGCATGAATATTAATTATGCTATAAGCATCAGTTCCCTGAAAGTAGACTTCCGATCACCCGCAGAATTCGCATGTCTCAAAGATAAACCCTGTATTCATAGAAATCTTTATAAAATCTTCCTCTGTGCAGGAGGCCGCACTCACCTTGCAGACAGACATCTGGTTGGTGGTGAGGGTTCCTGTCTTGTCGGAGCAGATGACGGAGGTGCAGCCCAGGGTCTCCACGGAGGGCAAGCTTCTCACAATGGCGTTCTTCTTGGCCATTCTGCGAGTACCTGCACACGGGGAAAGCACGCAAAACATGTGTCACAATTTCACCACTGATACTTCTTCTCATTTGTTGAAGCAAGCACTTTACGACACTTGCAACACAATAAGGTTGTATCAGTGCCAAAGATTAGAGGAGTCACAAGAGAGTGACAAACATAAAAAAGAAGGAGGAGAAATAAGGACAATCATAGTTTGATAGGAAAGGAGCAAATCACACCAGAGCACCTGCCAACTACCCACAATATCTCTCCCATCCCCCC